CAAATGTAAATACAAGTACAAGTACTTGAACAGAAATCAATTTTTTTACCGTGCGAACCGGTCTATGCGCAAATACTGTTGGCCGTTTGATGCTGAACACGTCAAAGTCGTGTCCACAGACATACCTAAAGTCTGAAATGTTAGTGTGTTTCCGAATAAATATGGCATATTTTTTATATAGAGATTAAATAAGAGGGGGCTTAAAATACATCCTTGGCGTACACCTCTTGAGTATGAGAAAGATCTAGTTTTGTTTCTTCCTATTCTTATTCGGTATCCGCCTTGACGTCACCGCATTGTTGGTTTCCAGGTAACCGCTTGCTTTGCGAAGAGTGTCGTCTTACTTTGGCCATATTCCAATCGGGTTGGTTTTTTTAGCATCCGTTTTGGGAGTCGATAAGTGCTTTGAGTGCTTTTCACGATGAATTTCAAAGGTAAAAGTACTTTTAAGAGAAAATGGAAGAGAGTTGGATCATTAGCCTTAAGATATGAGCGAAAATCAATCGATGTAACAAAACACATATTTTGCTCGCATTTGAGTTTATACAGTATCAGCTTTGTTGGGCATCTGTTCTTTAAATGCGATGAAATGCAGTGGGGCTTAATCAGCTTAAACAGAATGTGCTGACTGAAGATCTAGGGAAAATAAGGCTGCTTATTATATGGCTGAGTCTGTTTTCGCCATGCGATTGGTCAATTTGCGGTCCGTAACTTGCTATACGGACCAAAATTTCAAAGAAAATGCTCATTTCGGAGCTCTAAATCTCTTTACCTCGGAGAAAAGGTTACAAGACGTCTATCAACCTTGAGGACTTAGATTTTGACTTTGTCCTTCAACATTTTAAACTGTGTTTATTTGTGAACGAAGGCGATGAAGAAACTAACTCGTAATCTTATCGAAGAGGATTCTAGTCAGTGTTTGAAAATTTTATCGTAGTACACAGTTAAGAAGACGAAAATCGACTGGCAGAGATTCGAGATGTTTTGCCTCAAAGAAAATGAGTAATTCCTTCGACAAATATGATAACAAACATGCCTGCACCCGATCATCTTGACGAGCTTCTTTGTCATTTGCAGTGTTTTTCCAAAGACCAACAAAAGAAAGATAGAAGCGACTCCGAGCCAGACACAATGTCCAGTTTTCAAAAGACTCCAGCGTCACAATGGCGAGTGAAAACTCACAGTGCTCTTAGTTTTGACCGAATGTACTTAAAAATATGTCTGTAAACCCTGAGGACTGGGACGTTGACTTTGCCTTTCCAGTTTTTAACCTAAGTTTGTTTGAACAAGAACGAAGCTGATGTAGAAAATGAGTTGTAATCTTTCCGTGGAAGAAAATATAGTCTGTGTTTGAAAATTTTAACGCAGATCACGTTTGAAGACGAGAATGACCTGGCAGAAATTCGAGAGGTTTTGCCCAAAAAAATTAACGAGCGAATCCTTCCACAATGACAACAAACTTACCTTGAAAAGCTTCTTTGCCTTTTGCAGTGTTTTTTTAAAAGGACGAACGGAGGAAAGACGGAAACGACTGCGAGGAAGACACAGTGCCCGGTTTCCAAAATAATCCAGTGTTACATTAAAGAGCTGAAACTTACAGCGCTCTTAGTTTTGATCAAATAAACTTTTTCAACTCGGCGAATTTGTTTTCACTTTCCCGGAAACCCTTTGTTGTGTTATTGTTTTCGTTAGCCAATAAAAACTTTCTTTCTTGACGCCTGTCAAATGATTGTCAAATCGCGCGTCCTGCACTTGTCTCCGGTCCCCGAAACTGAAATAAGCCATATAATAAACATCTTATTAGCCTCGTTTTTTTGGTCCGTACTGTAAATTACGGATCCTCGTTTTTTTCCATCGATTTATGTCCCACGCGCTTCGCGCGTGGGCCATAAACTCGGTCCGTAATTTACAGTACGGACCGAAAACTCGGCTAATAAGAGATATATCATCTCAATCACAGTATGTCACCTGGCGCATCAGTAACGATATGGCCCGTCGCGTAGGAGACTGTGAGTTCGTTTCCGGTCGGATGCGCCTCTTTTTCTTTGTCTCTTCTTTTCTTTTTTTTTTTTGTTTTTCTTATTTTTTTTTCTTTTCGTCTAGTAGTGTTTTTTTAGTCAATGCAGTTTTGTTTTGCCGCTTTAGATAGTGTAGTGTTTGTTTATTTTTGATAAGAAATCTAGCTAAAAAGGCATATGTAAATTAAACATGTGGAGCCCTCCATTTCTCAAGTCTGATTTACTCTCCTCCATACAAACGTTTTTGCTGGCCAGAAAAGACAATTTCTAACAATTATAAAGACAATCAAAATTTATACCCTCAGAATATTGGGACGTAGATCGTAAGAAAATGATCGCTGAAAAGCCCTGTTTGGGGATGCTCAGCAAAGCGTATGTAAGAAAGACAAATTAAGATCGTATCTGAATTATCTCGTTTAAACTTGCAATTGCTTTTATAACGTCCTTATTAGCAGCCATCGTGTATGCTGCCGCGTTCTCAGAGGAGTTTGAACTTGAGATCATAGGTCGTTTACAACCGATGATACATGACATACATGGGTTTTAAAGTAATCATTAACGAATATATATGACACTTAAGCGTCCTGCTGCTAAGATTGTCCATAATATATAGATTTAGCCAGGGCTAAAAGCGAAGCTCTTGTTAATAAATTTATTTTTTAAATCAAACAAAACACTTATAGTCCACAAATCAGTTAACTTAAGGGCACATTCAAGTGACTTTTGAGGGAAAAGCTAAGTGATTTTAGAGTGAAACATCTTGCATCGAGTTGATGGCCTTATATCACTAGTGTACACCCAAAAAATAGCAATCATCTTCAATCACATTCAAGAGCCATAATGGCTCTTGATCACAGTAGATTAGGCCTGGAAAACAAATTCTTGGAAAACAAATCAGGTCGAATTTTCTGCGTTCGACAAGTTTTTTTTACAAAATCTTGCCAACAAATCTGGGGCGTGTAAACCAACCTTTTATACGTTTTACACATCACATCTGAGGTGAAACAGTACTATACAGGCGCTGTATGTATCATACAAACCTCGGACAGAATGCAGCATTTCACAATTTTTCAGGACGATCAATCGTGGGCTTTAAGCGAAACCGTTCAAAAATGTCCAAAATCACCCAGTATAGACCAGTATAGGTCAGTATGCGGCCAGGCGGTTCTCACTTTTGACAAGCGCCAAATTTGCAGTGCGATCTGTGTTACAGAGTTTGAATGAACATTAATAGAGTTACGCTTCAACATTATAAAGAATTTATTATGCTTGTTTTTCATTTAGTGGTTTTATAACGATGTGTAATCGTAAAAGCGTTTGATACGCGCGCTTTTTGAGTACTCCTGCAAGCGATGTTCATGAACGACTGAAAACAAACGGAACGGCGATTAAAATTGCAAGAGAGACTACTAACAATCAATAAAAGAAATATAATTCGTGAAACGTTTACAGATCTTTACAGAGACAACAAATTTCATTCACGAAGACAAGTATTTCAAAGTGTCAAAAAATCCTGAGTCTTGAAGCTTAAAGCTTAAGTTTATGTTTCAGTTAAGCCGGCTTCCCGGTGTTTGCATTTTTCAAAGATAAACTCGAGGCAAGAAAATCGCTAAAAGCTTTCTTTCTACAGCAAAATTTATAACTAAATACTCTTTGGAACGTTTTCCTTCTATTTACGGTGAGAAAATATATTTAAAGGCTTTATAAAGTTCTGTAAGCTCATATCAAACCTGATACTCGGTCAAATCATTGTCTCAATTCTAACAAACGTGCATAAACTTGCCACATAAACTGCGCCCGACTTCATGAAATTAGATACATAAAAAAAAACAAACACAAATACAATAATTACTCAGGCTTACCAGTCGAGATGCAGCACCTGAAAGCTATCAACTAAAGCTAGAATCGCTTGAGACTTTTGAACTCTCTGACGCATCAATTCTCAAGATGCTGTATAAGTTATCCGCATAAACTCACCTGTCAAATTTTGACCAATCAGAGCATAAAAATTGGACGTAGAGCGTGACCAACGTGTCACCATGGTAAGAAAAGGTCTTCTCCCTGCCTGCATTTTTAAATTACTGGCTGAATTTTCGCGTCCGAGGTCAGTTTGAAATCAGCCTCTTAATAGTACGGAGCCATAGTGACATAAACACAACATATTTCATATGGTTTTTTTCCAAAAAAAGACTTAAGCCTGTAATTATTTGAAAACTAGTCACTTGTCAGCGGATAACTTTAATAAAATACTCGACCTCGATGGGTCGACACCGGAGTCCACGGTCAGGTGATACTGGTCAGCGGATACCCTGTTTTGACAGCTGTCAATTGATCACAACATGGATGTGCAACATCAGGTTGCACCTGGGTTCCAAAACTAGTTAGAAACTGTGAGATTAAACATTGGTTTCCCTATGGTGCACTCGGGCGGTCGGTTAAGGTCACGTGATTACCAAATTTTCTGGGATGGGTAGATTTACTTAGCTATGGGGCTCCGCCCACACGCGCATGGAGCTCCACTATAAAGGCACATTTGATCACATTGCTGTTATACTATTGTAATTTTCACGCCCTGAGTTGAACTTCATTTGCACGTGCTGCTAGACTCATTATATATTCAGTTTCGTTTGTACCTTCAGGGGCACTTGATAGATATTAAAATGTCTGTTCAGTAACCGCTTGAACGTGTGGTTCGCTGTGTTATTACACGCATGGTGGCAGCGGTGGCCGCTTCTACTTCGTTTTTTTGTCTTTTTTTTTTAACCGTCTACGTTATACATGCCCGGTGGTGATACCTCCAATGGACAGTCTGGTGCGGTAGCGCCGCCTTCGTCGACTTTTCATCAGATTACTCCGCCGAAGTACCTTGACTTGAAACATAGTGGAGAAATTGCCGAAAACTGGAAGCTTTGGAAGGAGAAATATAACAATTATTTTGCCATTCCTCGTTTGGATCGGGAAACCCCGGAGTTTCAGTTGGCGATGTTCAAACATACAATCGGAGATGATGCGTTGAAAGTCATCAAAACATTCAACTACGCCGAGGGGGAGAACTCGAATGATTGGTGCGTGGTAATGGGAAAAATGGAGAAGCATTGCATCGGCGAAGTCAACGAAATTTACGAACGATACTGTTTTAATATGCGAGACAAGCTTCCAACGGAGTCGGTTGATAGTTTTGTGGCCGAGTTGAGGAATCTGGCCAAAACATTTTGCGATTGTTTGCGGGATAGTTTAATCCGTGATCGTATTGTGCTTGGAATTAAAAACGAGCAGACGACCAAGAAGTTGCTGAGAATGAGAAATCTGAATCGTTGCATCGACGTATGTCGCAGCGAGGAAGTTGCTGAGTTGCAAATGAAGTTGTTATCTGGGCCGGTGGATAACATTAATCAAGTAAAGTCAAGTTCTAAAAGCCTCGAGCTCCAACGCCGGTGGACGGGCGGTCGGCAAAGAAAATTTCATGCAAATTTTGTGGCTATGACCGTCAACCTGATAGGAAGATGTGCCCTGCATGGGGAAAGAAGTGTAAGCGATGCAAGTAAAAGAATCATTTTGCCAAGAAGTGTAAGAAAGTTCCTGTTCATAATATTGAGAGCGAAGAGGAGTTAGAGGAGATCAGCGTTGTAAGAGTACAGGCTTTGAGAGGGAGAGCTGTGTATGCGAGAATGCTGGTTAGGCAGCAACCAGTGCAATTTCAAGTTGATTGTGGTGCAAGTGCAAAAAAATATTTTACCTCTGAGGTATGCTGAGGGCGAGGAACTCGACTCGTGTTCGCAAACGCTTGTCAGGTGGAATGAAACTAAAGTGACGCCTGTCCGTTCCTGTGCGTTGCCTGAGGTGAATCCGAAAACTAATGAGAAGTACAAGGTCCGGTTTCTAGTCGTGAAAGAGGATTTGACCCCTCTGCTTGGCTTAAATGCAACGCAAAAAAATGAAGCTGTTAACTGTACACAAGGAAAACTTCATTAACCCTATTCAGACTGGGCTTTTTTGGTCAATCTGTGACTGGGGCTCCTCCTCGGACCCCCCTCTGTATCTCTGGAACCAATAATGCTAGGGTCATGAAATTTACACACAATGATCATCTCCGTACAAAGAAGCCCCACACCCAGTTTTGACTTGCCACGCCCAATGATGACGTCACAGTGACGTCATATTTCTATTTTTCAATGTTTCTTATTATTTTTCCACTTAGATACGTAAAATATCAATAATATTGGTAAAGTCATCTCTTTGTTATCCTTTCTTATGAACTAGTAACAAGGAAACACTTGTACAGCGAGAACAAGCAATAGGAAGCAATAAAATTTAAATTTTGAAATGGTTGGCCGCCATCTTGGATCCGCCATCTTGGATTTCCGTTTTTTTGTTAAAATTATAATTTAAAGCAACTTTCAAAGGGGAGAAATATCAGAATGTATAAAAGAAGTATCAAACTAATGTTTATTACCCAAACAAATGACTTTAAAAGTGTTATTTGGAAAATAGAGCAGCATATTTGTCAAAGCAAAAAAGTGACAAATTTTACCCCAACCCTCCCCCCCAAATATTCGATGTTGAAACATTTTGATGTAATTCAAAAACTAGTCCCAAGCAAAGACCATTTTAACAACAAAAAGCACTATAAGTGTAAAAACGCGATCTGGTAATTATACCAAAATGTTCCTAGATAAATTTTGGGAAAAGTCAGAAAATTTGAACGTCATAGCTCTTTCAATTCGGTGTAGGAGTTATCACGATTTTGCCGGAGGGGGGATTCGAAAAGCCCCCCCAGTCTGAATAGGGTTAATGTCGTGGAGAATGCAAATGATGATCTCACAGGTAATTACGCGATGTCTTTAACAAAGGTCTCGGAAAAGTTCGCCTGCAAGTTGACCCAGATTGGAAACCTGTTGTCCTTCCAGCAAGAAAAGTCCCTGTGTCTGTTCGGGAGAAGTTCAAAGAAGAGCTCCAAAGGTTGGAACGTCTTAAAGTAATCAATCCTGTTGACGAACCGACCGAGTGGGTTAGTCAGATTGTTGTAGCTGTAAAGAAGTCCAGCGAACTGCGTGTTTGTATTGACCCGCGACCACTTAATACCGTCTTGAAGAGGGAACGTTAGCAAATTCCCGTCATTGATGATTTGTTGCCCGACTTGACAGATGCGCGTGTGTTTACAAAGGTTGATTTAGCCTCTGCTTTTTGGCATCTGGAGTTATATCGCGAGTTTTAGTATGCTCACGACAGTTGCTACGCCGTGTGGGCGATATCGTTGGCTCCTTTTGCCGTTTGGTCTCAGTGTTTCGAGTGAAATTTTTCAGAAACGTCTCCATCAAGAGTTACAAGGTCTCCCGGGTGTAAAGTGTATTGCAGATGATTCTCATCCATGGCACGTGCGAGGCTGATCATGGCAGTAATCTAGATGGATTCATGCGCAGATGTCAGCAGAAAGGTATCAAGCTCAAAGCAGAGAAGTTAGAGTACAAGTGTAAAGAGGTTCCATTTCATGGGCACCTGCTAACCACGGAGGGTCTAAAGCCAGATCCAGAGAAAGTGAGAGCAGTCGTCGAGATGCCCCGCCCAAAGGACCGAGATGATGTTTTACGCCTGAATGGAATGGTCAATTATCTTAGCCGTTTTCTACCCCACTTATCTGATGTGATGAAGCCTCTACGAGATCTTACCCATAAAGATGCAGCATGGTGTTGGGATGATTTTCAAGAGAAGGCTTGGAATAATGTCAAGACTTTGATTGCATCAGCACCCGTTCTAGCCTACTACAAGCCCACTGAAGTGCTTGAGATCCAGTGTGATAGCAGCCAGAGTGGTTTAGGTGCCGCTTTAATGCAGAATGGTCACCCAATCGCGTATGCCAGTAGAGCCTTAACAGAGAAGGAATCTTGCTATGCGCAGATTGAAAAGGAGATGTTGGCAATCGTGTTTTTAGTAGAGAAGTTTAATGACTTTACCTTCGGTAGAAGAACTGTTGTCCATACTGATTATAAGCCACTTGAGTCAATTTTCACGAAACCACTTCATCGCGCTCCTAAGAGGTTGCAAGGAATGTTGATCCGCTTGCAAAAGTACGATTTGGTGGTACAGTACGCCAGGGGAAGCAGAATGTTCTTAGCGGACACTCTCTCTAGAGCTTATCTTCCCTCGGGTGCGCAGATTGAGTCAGAGTTTGAGACAATCAACATGATGAATTACTTGCCAATATCTGAAGCCAGGCTACTGCAAATTCAGCGCGAGACAGAGCAGGATGAATCGCTTCAAGTTCTAAAGGCAGTGATTCAGCATGGCTGGCCTGAAAATAAGAGTACCCTGCCGCTTCTAGCCTCTCCTTACTTCGATATGAGGGATGAGCTTTGCGTTCAGGATGGTCTGATTTTTAAGGGAGAAAGGGGTAGTGGTACCCAAGGCTGCTAGGAGTGGTCTCCTAAAAAGTGTTCACAATTTGCACCTTGGAGTTAATGGTTGCCTTAACAGAGCGCGTGAGTGTCTTTATTGGCCTGGGATGTCAGGAGAGATCAGGAACTATGTGTCAACATGTGTGGAGTCTGCAGAGAGTACGAACAGGGTCAAAAGAAGGAAACACTCACCAGCCACGAAGCACCTAGTCGGCCGTGGCAGTTCGTTGCAGCAGACCTATTTGAGTTAAATGGAAAAAGTTACCTTGTGACTGTGGACTATTTTAGTGATTTCTTCGAGCTCGACCATCTGAGAAGTACATCCTCTGTCTACGTCATC